GTAAGCAGCTATTTTACGTAGCAGATTCTTTGTTATATAGTAACTATATACAGCAGAATTATAAAGAGTGTAAACACAAGATCACATTTTCCCCCGCATGTCCAGCATTTACTTCATTTATCTTCAATAGCCCCACAGCAGCTCATCTTCAATGTATGCAAGTTATTTATTGATCTGGGATTTTCCAAAGCTACTTAAGAGTGGTTTGGGAACCTGTCTTCTATTGAATTTCAATGAATCCACTCATAAAAGAATTAGGAGCTTTAGGAAATTTTATCTTTATTGTTTCATACCACAGGCGCAACATGGCATCCAATTATCTTATCCTTTGCTGGCAGAAGAACTACAATTGAGGTACCCAATTAACAATTTTTAAGCTTGTGAAACTAGTCTCACATAATTAGCATCCAGAGAATGAAAGAAGCTATTTTAGCAAACAAAAGTGAGACTCAAGCTTTCAAACAAGGTATTTCTGGTTGCTGCCTTTCTTTTGCTCCTCCAACTTTAGTTTAATCATGATTATAGATGATTATATTCCCTCAAAATGCTAGAGAGATTATCATCAGAGAACATTTCAACATGTTATGGTAAAGCTCCATCTACTCAAACTTCTAGAGATGGGGACCATTCACATTTGATGATTTGCTCATGGAAACTGGGGTTCTTTCAATACAGGACCCGTCAGCTGCAAATAAATTGTGTGTTGGGTGTATATCAAACAGTCATTCAGACTCTGTTTAAAAATACAGCAACAGTTCCAGGATAACAAAGAAAGTGCAGTTGCAGACACCACGAGAGACGGAGTTACAGACTGGTGTAACACAGTGAATTGTTTTCACAATTTTGATGCTAAAATAACTGAGTATCAAGTACTTTCATGTCTTGGCAGCAGAAGTTCTCATATTGTACTGTGGGTTCTTCCCCCTCTCATAAGATATTCATGCTATTCAAGCAATACTTAGGGTCAGAGATGGTTCTAACAGGCAGCTGTGCCCTAACAAAGCACCACTGCCTGCAACTTGAATGATGTGAAAAGAGCTCAGGGTGTACCTGTGCCAGACCTCAAGCCTCTCTTCACAGGGCAAGTACCAGGCATTGTTATAGCACCTTCCTCTGCTTCATGGCCAAGAGACAACAAAGCAGACCTTGCTGGAACTGATACTGCACCAAGCATCACAAAACCCAAACACAATCCATGTGTGCAGTTCCAGAAAGAAGCTACAGAAAATAAGCAATTTCTTTTCCTGCTCCTTTGTTTCACCTTGCCTTAACCCAATGCATTCCGACAGAAAGGAGTTTGTGAACTGAGATTAGAAAACAGTGTGCAAGTCAGATAAATTCTGAAGCTGCAAACACACACACACACACAAAAATCCTTAAGTACTAAATGGATGGAGTCATTTGCCATTATGCTTTTTAGATCTTAACCCTGTTAGTAGGAGGTTGAGGAGGAAACCAGAAAATAGCATATCAAATCAAATACCTAGATTTCATTAGCCATTGATATTCTTTGGGCAACCACATGGTTTATTTAGAGATTAATATATTATTCAGAGGTATGACCTTATAATGGCCTTCCAGTACCTAAAGGGGGCCTACAGGAGAGATGGGGAGGGACTCTTTTTCAGGGAGTGTAGCGATAGGAGAAGGGGTAATCATTTTAAACTGAAAGAGGGGAGAGTTAGATGAGATCTCAAGAAGAAATTCTTTACTGTGAGGGTGGTGAGACACTGGAACAGGTTGCCCAGAGAAGCTGTGAATGCCCCATCCCTGGAGGGGTTCAAGGCCAGGCTGGATGGGGCTTTGAGCAACCTGGTCTAGTGGGAGGTGTCCCTGCCCATGGCAGGGGGGTTGGAACTCTATGATCTTTAAGGTGCCTTCCAAGTCTAACCATTCTATGGCTGTGGAACGCAAGACACTCTGGTAACCCAAAATGACAATGCTGTAAATTGGATTTTGGACATACAATTGGACATACATGAACTTCCCTACTTAAGACCTTATAAGAAGTTGCTAAGATACACAAATGTGAAGCTTCAGCTTACCATCAGAACTTGTGGCAAGAATGGTAAATTAAGCAAAAAACCCCAAATGAAATGGAAATTCCTGCCCCAAGAAAAACAGTATTAAACAGGTGTTTCCAATTGCTGAGTGCCTGAAGCAGGCAACAGTGAACTGACACTAGGGTGAGACAAAAGGTTGTCACTATTTTTTTTTTAATCTCTATGTGTTTTAATAGTATATTTGACTTTTTTAATTGTCCCATCAAAATAGATGAGTCTACAGAGTACGATTTGTATTTTATTTTTTTTTTCTTTTTACAGCAAGGAAGTCCTCTAAACATTTGCATCAACTTCCAGACCAAAAGCTATCTGTAAAAGTCAAACATGTCTGGCCAGATTCTGGGGTGTCTGATGGAGTTCTATTGATTTCAAGCAAGCCTGCTGATTTAGCCTGCTGAAGAACCTCACATCATCGGATTAGGTTAAGTAAATTGATTTTTGAATCCTGATTATTTGCAAAACCTTATGAACAACTTAGAGACTTAGCACCCAACAAAAGGTAGAAATTACTTGGTCAAGAGTTTTATTAATACAGTTTTTTAAAATCAATTTTCTCTCAAAAACTTCACTAACAGAAAAGCAACAGAATTTGTTCGCTAAATTATTCATTAGGAATTACTGAGCCAGGTTCTTCGGTACTATAAAAAGCAGCAGCTCCACTGAGAGCAGAAAGAATTGCAGCTGTTAAGAAACAGAAGAGAACACAGGTACAGGTGCCGTAGGAATTCACTTCTGGTTTTCCAAAGCTATTTGTGAGAGCATTTAGTGGCAGATGGGAAGTAGGAGGGGAGCAGAGCGGTGACAGAAGCTGTCTGTCAACTCGGAAGGGCACAGGCAGTGACAGGACACCTCGACAAAAGCCCATGAAAGCTGTTCCTGCATAAAGCCTTTTCCCATTCTTTGCCAGTGCAGAGACTGAATTCAATAATAACTAAGAACACCACCTTTTTCTCCTTACTGTCCAATCCTAGACCTCTTTGCTAACCTTAAGAAAGGAACTGAATCGTATGATCTCGGGAGGATTCCTGAGGAAATCAGTTGATATAGCCATACCATACGTGTTTGTACAACCTAATAACCTTCAGGTTCTATTGCAAACCCTGGTTAAAATGCCACCAAGAGAGAGGCCACAAAGATACTGAGTTCCTAGAAGTTTTCTGCAAATAGATGGTTGAGTGATGGACAAGTAAGACTTTTCATATTATCACCATGGGAAAAGTGGCAGCATGAGAATTTCTCACTTTTAGATACCTTGAAATCCCCACGGGGGAGAAGTTAAGAACATCCACTTGCAGGAATAGCTTTGATCAATGCTTGCATGTTATTAGAACCCAGAAAACCCTATTACTAGGCACAAATCCACAGAAAATCAATCAAACTCCCTTTGTTTATGGCTATAGGAACAACTAGCAGTATCTATCAGGCTACACCAAATAATTCATCGTAGGAAAGTCAGCAAAGAGCTGACAAATAGAAGCTGCATTCATCTATAAACAAACAGACACATGATTCAGTGCACTAAAACTGGAAGGTGCTGTGTTCCCTCACATTAAATATTGCATAAGAATATTTTTTAAGGCAGTTCATAACTCCTTACATATTCCGTGATGCAAAGCATGAGCAGGAAAAGACAAGAACATTATACTCATCTCTAATGAGAAACAACTTCCTTGATGAAGGTAGAGTACATACACATATTTCAATATTGAGGCATCCAGCAAGCTGCTGGGTCTGCAACTACGTGCTAATTACAGGAGGAAAATTAAGAACTGTGTGACCATTGTTGTGCTCTAATCACAATATTCATTAGTTGGCAGAAAAAACTTTTAACTGCAGATACTATGCTTGAAAACGCTGTTAGAGAAGACAGTAACCAACCATCAGTGTGGTAATCAAATCCTAACTGTACCTGACTCTTCCAACTACCAGATTTTGTTTTTGAGAATCCCAAAGTGTTTCGAAGGCAGTTAATCAGAGCACCCTCACCACAGCCCCGCAGGCAATTTTCCTATCTGTTCCAGAGAACAAACGGCGGAGCAGGAAGGTTGCAATCATCACTACAATGTTCGCCCAGACAGAAATGGTTTCCAAACACCTCGACTTTCTGTCCCTCACTGTAAAGATCAGACTCCTAAATACTGCCTGACGTTTGATATTTTCTTTTCTTTCAGCAGTAAAACACATTTCTAGCCTTCCTGATTGTCAGCGCTGCTTTGATACAAAATACATGGTTTTTCTCTTACATTAAGTGATTATCCTGAGGATAAAATCAGGAAATTCCCTCATTTTCCTCAGAACACAGGAAACAAGAGAACATTAAGATTTAATATCACCTCATCAGTAGTCTACAAGTCTGATAAGAATAAAGTCTGTAAGGTTGCTACTCTGGTCTTCAGAAGCTCTTAGCCACATTAAAAAAAAAAACAAGGTCTTTTATTATAATTAACTATGTTTTATTAAAGCTTTCCCTCATTTTCCTTTCTTTGCTTCTTTCCCCCTCGTAGTTTTTACATCTTCTTTCATTCCTCCCTTTGATGTTTGCATGCTTTTCATACTTTTATTGAAAACATTTTGCACTATTCATTTGCAACATACCTCCCCCCGGTTTTAGAGAAATCTATTTTTCCCTGGGTCTGACTTTGCCTCTGCCCTCTACAAGCTCATCTACAGCTCAGTGAGAGCGTAGGGAACATATGCTCTGGCGACAGTCCTCATTACAAAGTGGCACAAGAACAAAACACCTTCCATCTCTTCCATTTCTTTTGTCTCTCACTTACACAGTCAATGTAACCTGCTCCCCTTGATATGAACATTTATTCAGGACTTATTAAAAAAAAAATACATCTTGAATCCATCCTTTCAATTTTATAGTTAGTGCAACTAAAAATATTACTGTTAAAATGAAGAAAAAGTAAGAGTGGCACCTTCTTTACTTACATGTGTCTAAAGCCTCATCTGAGTCATCAGGACAGTCAGGCTCTCCATCACACAGCCAATGCTGGGAGACACAAGTCTCATGATCACGACACAGAAACTCTCCTACGTCACAGAATTGAGGTTCTTCTGAAAATGAGAAGGTGTTAGAATGCAATGAGTGAAAATGACAGAAAAGAAAGTGCCACAATGAAAATGAACAGTGAAAACAAAGTGATTCTGAATTTAGAAATGAAAACAAACAAGAGAAACAACGTGAAGTAAAAATGTAATGAGATATCTAATGCTCTTGGTTAGGCTGTGGAGCCCTAACATCCAACAGCAGCCTTTCAGTGGGAGCATCCCAAAACCACACATCCCAACCAGACAAGAACGGCATTCGCATAAACTACTCTAACCATTTCAGCAAGAATGTCTGTGGGTGGGTGTGGTGTGTGTTGGTTTGTGGTTTGTTTTTGTTTGGTTGGTTGGTTTGTTTTAGGGTTTTTTTGTGCGTGGTTGGACTCTATGATCTCAAAGGTCCCTTCTGTGAGAAATGGGCTGAGTTTTGCGTCAGCTAATTGATATATTTTTGTTAGTATGTCTGTATTGACAGAGGAGGCCCAGTGATGGTGGAGTCTCATCCATTGTACCAAACTAATCCTTAGAAGCGCCCTGGGGCTGTCCAGGGGTCCTGGTCTATGGGAAGTCATCTAGGTGAAGAGAGCCAGGCCGATGGCAGACTGATAAGTGGACAAAGGACTGTGAAGAGTGACAAGTGGATGAAGGTCATCTAGAGGGTGGCTGATGAAGATGAGGATATGACCACCAGGGTGCTTGTAACTACTAACACTGGACAGTAGGTGATAGCAAAGACGGTGAAATATAGTGTAGTGTAATCAACTAATCGAAGGTGTGCTTAGGATAATGATTTTGTAGAGTAGGTGGGCGAGCCTTGTAAGGTAGAAAGGTGTAAACTACATCTGTAATAGGTCAGGCGGTCGGGAAGAATGTGAGCTCCAACTTCTCAGCCCATGAGAAGAGAGACAGTAACTCAGGCAGCCGGGACAAGGGTATAAAAATATCTAAAAACTCTGCTCTGAGATGCACCTGATTCAGCGCTGTTTCGTATAATAAATTTTTATACCTTTGCTTCGACGATTTTGACCATTTTAAATTCTAAATGTGAGCCTCGGTTTCTGACACTTACAACCATGAATATTCTGTGATTCTGTAAATTTGTTCACTAGATAGAAATCAACAAGCTTTAATTTCAAATTACCAGCAGGGAGGTACCCCATGCTCCTCTCCTGCCCCAGAAAATATTTTCAAAATGTTGTTTCACGTAATCAAGTTTTCAAGGATGTATTTTTCTAAGCAAAGGTCTTTTTAAGTAACTATTTATTTTAATATCTTTTACTATTTCTTTAGATACATATTTTAATGGCCAAATCCTATCTCGGGTTTTATATAAGAATGTTTTTATATTTCTTGTGACAAAGTCACAACCAAAGGGTTTAGTTATTTATGGTCAACACTGAGGCATCTTCAAAAACCATGGCCTTAAAAAGAGGGCAGTTTCGGACACCTGGCAAACCCAAACTATCTGCTGGATTCAACCACCAAAGCCCAGCGTCCTTGAGACCTAGAGTTAATTAACTCAAGAATATTGCACGATTAATTAATGTAAAACTATTCTAACATTAATTAAAGCTCACAAAGCCTCTGTGCAATATATTATATTAATTTTATCAATATATAAATTAGAGTAGTGCCTTCTACGTTGCAGATCGCTGGGAAAAGGTTTCTCGATTATTCTTAGACTGCTACAAGTGAGATATAACTTCCCCGGAGTCAATACTGTTACAAAGATATAAAACCAGGTATAAATAAGGAGAGAATTAAGCCCAATTCCACATGCAGTTCTATCCTTCGGGTTAGTTGATACCAAAAGCCAACGGATAATGTTATTTTTTTTCTTATCACTATTGGCAGGCTATGAGAGGGTGCCACCTACATCGCTGGCTTCAGTGCCTGCTTGAAAGACCTTCCTTGTGATTAAGTGCTTTGACTTTTCAGGAATTGTTACGATATTCATTTCTTAGTCTGACATGCCAACCAGCAATTAGCATGATAACGAAAAACCACTGTTCCCCAGAACAACTTAACTGGCCTTCGGAACAAAACATCTATTTTGCAGACACTATGTACATATTGTCTTGTCTAATGACTGCAAGATGTGTTTCTAAACACGCTCGTAAAGCAGATGAGCTCCAAAAGAAAACTCCTATGGCACACTTTTGGGGACATTTAGGACATTAGGACATTACTTTAGGAAACAACAATGGGAACGCTCAGTTAAAAGTACCCTATCTTTTCATATGTGCACAGCTCATTTTCAAGGTCAGTCTCAAAAAATACTGATGGCCAGAGTTTCAAACAAATCAAAGTTGTAACTACCGTTTCATATTGCTTAATATTGTATAATTGTGTAGGAATCAAAGCACGTTTTTAGTATTTTAATTCCTTGCCTTTACTTCAACAGCAAACAGCATGCAGTCATTTAAGTTGTTTACCTTCTCTGAAAAAGAAAGAGTGACTGTGTAATTAAAAGTGTAAGTTTACATGCACAGGGAAGTGGTTCTGCTTACATCTTCAGCAAGATGATTAAAGGTCCTGCTTTGATAGCATTTCTTGAAAAAATATCTTGGAAGTCAGAAAGAGAGGGAGTTGAGTTTGGCAAATTTCAGCATTTCAAAGATAGTAGTATGAGAAAAATCTTTATGAAGATTTTTTTTTATATATTTGTTTTTATAATATTCTTGAAACTCACAATTAATTCCTGTTCCCTTATGGAAACCCTATAGAACAGTGTGAACCTTAATTTTCTGTGTATTACACAACTTTTAGTAACAGACCTGGGAATAAGAGAACTAGCACAAAACCAGTTATCGACCATGTTCACTCATTTATACCACTTAAGAACTTTTTTTTTTAATTGTTGGCCTTGTCTTAAGTGTCAGAACCACAGTAGAAATACTTAGATACTATACTATGGTATCCACTCAATATTTTTTCTTCTTTTTGTATATAATTACTTCTCACAGAAAAAACAAATAATTGAAATGGTTAAATTGCACGAATTAAGATTCATAAAGCCAAATTATTTCACATTACAATTTTTCTAAATGTTATTTTTTATAGATTTCCAAACTGCTAAATGAAAAAAAAGTAATTAATAAATAGAAAAATATAAAGTTGTGAAAACACTTTCACAGCCAACTTTACACAACTGGTTCTACACAAACCTACTCAATTACCTACACACAAAATACCTATAGAAAAAGAAACCTTGTTTCTTTCTTAAGTCTTATCAATAATTGGGTAAAAGGAGAAATCAATCCTGTCATTTATGCCAAAATGTAACACTCCAAGTCTAATTATATGCTGCAGGGAGCAGAGCCCAGCGATAAGAAAATCACATTTGAAGCTGATGAAGAATTTCAGTCCGGTGATTCAAGTTTGATGCCAATGAAATCACAGTGAAACGTGCAGAACTGCTCTTTTTTAGGGTTAGGGTGCAATGTTTATCTTAAACCCTGTCCTTAAGTCCTGTGGCTGTCCCCTCAGAGAGTGTCCCAGCAGCAAGGGAGGAAGCTGGGATGGAAGGGACAGCGACCCACCTTCAACAGAGTCCTTAACATCACCCCTTTGGAAATGTAAAATTTAAAGCAGTGTGAAAGACAACTGGTAGAGTCACACTACCAATTAAAGACCTTTCTACTCTGCAACATTCCCTTCTGCTTTATACTTCTATCTGTAATAAAATCCATTTTCACTACTCAGTGTCAACTGCCAGTCAACATGAATCCCAACGCTGCTGCTGCCAGCTGGGATGAAGAGGAATCCAAGGGAAACCTCTGCGTGACACCATAAACATCGGAGCAAATGGCATTCCCACAAGGAGCTGTATGAAACACGGAAGGACCCTATTGCCGTGCTCAAGGGTAATGAGAGTCTGACACAAAAACCACATAGGTTGCTGATGGGAAATAAGATATCAACCTTTTTTTTTTTTTTTCCCTACTTATTTTGAGGAGGAACATTGATAGAGAAGTCAGGAAGCACCATTGTAGGGAATTATTGCTTGCCTCTTACTGCACCAGCTTCTTCTGAAGCTGCAGATAGGCACATATGTCTACACAAATAAATCTTACACTGTTCGTATTTGGGGCAAAAATTATGAAAATAGCCTAACTAATTTGACACAAACAAGTTTTAAAAAGCTATTTCATGTGTAGCTCAGTGTTGAGCATGTGTACTTGAAAAAAAGGCTTATTTTCTACTTTTTTAAAAAATGTAAATAATTTAGCTATTTCCATACAATTAAATACTTGGTTTGTATTTGATGCAACAGTAAAGAAATTATGGAGATCTAAGCTTTTTATATTCTCTATCTCAAGAAAGAGCTAGCGGAGGGAAAAAAACACTAACTTATAAAACACTTTGAAAAACAGAGCTTGTTTAGAATAAAGCAGCTGAATATTAGCTCAGGGTTTTATTGGCTCTGAAACTGCTTTTTCAAACTGTTTTCTTTTACATATCTATAGAATTATCTTTATTTTCAGCTGCTATCTTTACAAATTAATTGGGCCAGTTAATCATAAATATGCAGTCATTAGTGGGCTTGGATTTTTTAAGCACGCTTCCTAAAAAACGGTCATCTAAGGTGGCTTTATTTTATAACTGAAGAAAACAGTTCTTTTTAGTGACACCTCTCCGCACACTATTTCTTTCTGTATTATGTGTGCTGCACAGACAGGCTCCCAGCGGACGAGAAAAATTCACATTTTTAACTTCCCAATTCTTTGAGATACAGAGCAGATGGTTAGAAATCATCTCTCTATGGGTAAATGAAAGCTTTGCCTCCCTAAGGATAGTACGCCTTCCTATGTTGCAAACACCTGGCAATGCCTCTTAGGAGGAAAGTTTCACAAAAAAGCTGGTGCCTTTGTTTATAAGTCAGTATTTCTAGAGCCAAAAATGCCTTTTTTTTTTTTTCCAAAAGACCGGCATATTTTTATGAGGACGAAGCTCAAAATCTCCATTAGAAAACTAATTAGAATTGTAATTTATGCAATCACAGTACACTTGGTAAAAAAAAAGAAAAGTATTCCATTATGTTGTTAATAGACGAGGAAAAAAAAGGGGCAAACAAACAAAATCCCCGGGACACAAGACAGTGGCCAGGGTCTGCCTACATCAGGAATGCTCCCCGATGAATAAGGCAGTTGCCTCTGTAAACACGCATTCAGCCCCAAAATGATGATGGATAAAGGTCGCTGCCCGCGATCGCATCGACAGGCAGAGGTCAAAGGTATCCGGATCCTTCTTATTTGA